CCCCCCCGTGGTGGAGAGGGGGAGACGGGTGTTCAGATCTCAGGGGAAACGGAGGATGCCCCCACGCGTCACATCCCTGAGGCTTGGACAAAGCAGGGACGTGTGTTGACTCTGAAGGCTACTGATGGCAGCTTTGCAGGATGCATCGAACCAAGGGATTGTTAAAGCCACAAATGGTTCAACTGCCCCCTCACAATTCATAACCTGAGATCTCCCCCCCGGCTGGGACTAAGGGGTACAGCTGTGGGTTGGGGCACCGGCAGAACTGGGGGATCCAGGGGCCGCGGGTCGGGAGTGAGGGGCACTGGCAGAGCTGGGTGGGGGGGCAGGGGGCTGCAGATCGGGAGTGAGGGGCACCGGCAGGGCTGGGCTGGTGGGTGGCTGCAGGTCGGGAGTGAGGGGCACCGACAGGGCTGGGGGGGGCAGGGGCCGCGGGTCGGGAGTGAGGGGCACTGGCAGGGCTGGGGGTCGGGACTGAGGGGCACCAGTCAGACACTATTTCGTTGCCCATAATCCTTTATTCCAGCCGATGGCTCAGCTCCGTGGGGAGCGGGGGTCCCACCTGCGTCCTGCTCCGGGGGGGCTCACTGCAGGCCCCCCCGCTCCTTCTCCCACTGCTCGGGGGTCAGTGTGCGCTGCTCGAAGGCGTGAATGTGCTTCAGCTCCTCGGCCAGCAGCTCGTTCACCAGCCTGTGGGGAGGGGGGGTCAGTGCTGGAGCCACAGGAGCCCCCTGGGGTCAGGGGTGGGGGGGTCACGCCCCAGAGCTCCCCCAGCCCCACGGGGAGCCGGAACTCCGGGAATTGGGGGTCCCGGTGGGGGGGGCAGGGGGGGTCCCGGCTCACCGGTGTCGCTGGAGCAGGGGCTTCCCCCGGAACCGGCCCGAGACAACGAGAACCTTGAAGCTGGTGGAGCAGCGGCTTGGGGTCGTGTCCTCCACTTCCTGGGGGGGAGACATGAGTGGGGGAGGGTGACCTCAAACCACCCCCGATGCCAGCCCCCGCCCCCCACCGGGAACCCCCCAACACCAGCCCCCGCCCCCCACCTGCCGCCCCACCAGGAACCCCCCGATACCAGCCCCCACCGGGAACCCCCTGATACCAGCCCCCGCCCCTCACCTGCCCCCCACCGGGAACCCCCTGATACCAGCCCCCACCGGGAACCCAGTATTCTTGCTGCCAAGTTAAAGAAGTATGGGCTGGATGAATGGACTGTAAGGTGGATAGAAAGCTGGCTAGATCGT